AAAAGTACTCAAATTATACGCAATCAACAATATTAGGCTGCGTGTGACAAAAGTTTGACGTTACTTGGCAATATTTTTGTTAGGCGATTGTCGTGTCCATGGCCTACTACTTGCCTTCTTATCGAAAGCAACCGATGCATTTTTAAATGGGGATATATGAATTTTCCTGGTTTAGTATTTTTTTAAATAATTTGAGTTAGGAAAAAGATATTAAGATGCGGTTTGCGCAGGCTTATTGGTTGGTCATTTGTCTATTTTCTAGTCTAAAAAAAGTCATATCATCGCATTTAAATTTTTTGAGAAAATCCAATATTTTGGTTATAATATCGAATAACGCCCTCTATCGGCGGCCGTGTAGGTCGCAACTGTCATGATTACGAGAAACCTAAAAGCCCAAGAAATGCTCTTTTCAATGATACCAAATTTATCCAAATCCATTAAGCCGTTTCGAAGTTACAGGCATTTATTTAAAACAACATTCAAATACCCCCCACCACTTTATTTCGAAAGATAGAGAAAAATTGTTTTTACAAAAAATATTCGACTTTAAGTTAACATTAAAACGCAAATACTTTTTTGTTACATTCATTGGGGAAAATCGCGAGAAACGTAACTTTATGTAATTCAAGATGGTGGAAACGCCCACTGGCGGCCATCTTGGAAACTTGAAAATTGTTTTTTGCATTTTCCCTTGCCCACTTTACCTATAAAATTTTTTACCGTAGCTCTCTACGATCATTAGTTTCTGAGATACAGCCGCTTACCTCGCTTATTTGCCCACCCTGTACATCCTGGCAACACTGTATCATTTCGCACTGTGACGTCATTGCAAACTTATCGCAAATGGACTAATAAAACAAAAATTGAGAGAATGAACCGAGTGCGACTCTGTTAAGAGCCGCTCCTCCCGAACTTTAGATCAGTTCGACAACAGAGTTATAATTATCTTCCATATAAAAAATTTAAATCTCTATTGATGTTTGTAAATTTTGAAAATGACTTGCTGGTCTCATGTACACCTCGAATTACCTCCGTTAAGATATATGTATATATTTAAGTTTACTCTGTATAAGTAGTTTGTTTTACATTGAAAAATACTACCGAGAATTTATTTAATTAAACACCTAAAAGTTGTTCTCACGAACTTACCCGCTGCTATATTGGACATACCCTCGTGTCAACATACAATTAATGCAACCTGTCTCATATTAATTAACAACGCATATTTTTAGATATTGTCGCACCAGGACCTACTGAAAATAAACTCACCTATGCCTTACACATTAATTAGCTGGCAAGAACGATTTTATTAAAAACTCCATGGGGAAAAACTATAGGTGGGTGCGTATTTACACAAAATTATTCTGTTAATAGAATAATCTCATGGCAAACATGAACCCTAATTAAACTGGAAATAATCAATGAGTTGTTCTATCGACTGCGGTAGTTAAATTGTCAAACTGTGGAAGCGTAGGTGGACCTCTATTAATTTAGTTGGAGTCCCATTGGGAAAAAAACAGAAATGCTCTACATTTGGTCAAAGAACTCTTTCTCCTGGAAAAGTTATTATGAATGCCGCCCAAAGCTGAGTAATTATAATTGTAAAATCGATACCTTTAGTAAATATCTAAATAAAAATATATGATAATGTTTTATATGGTCTACCTCTGCGTGTTGTTACTTCCTACGTTTAAATACAGTTAACATGGTGATTTTTACAATTTTTTTAAAACGTTTTAGTGTTATACTTTTAATTCATTTAAAGGCAGTAGTGGAACATAAGGAAAGACGACAGTTTTTCAATTAGAAGGAATATTCGTTGAATACTGTGCAATGGAGTTATTAAGGAAGAACCAAAAGAACGAATCGTTATGGCATTTTGAAGTCCAAATAATATGACTTTAGTTTGGCAACAGACAATGTGAAGCTTAACAAGACTCTACGGAGACCCGAACCCTTCTGCTGCAATATTGGTAGCTGAGTTAGACAATAGACAATAGTGAATGAATGTAAATGCCAAATCTGCAGAGAATTATCTAGCAGCAGTGAAACACTTACGTTGACCTACTGAGCCAAAGTGGTAGACCATTAATGATAACGGTACAACTTTTATACTTCTTACTGGATCGGAAAACACTGAGTAATATTGTTCTAAAAGAGATTACATTCTATGTAGATTCTGCCAAAAGGATGAGATAACAGCCCATATATGTATTGACCGTAATGTTCTAGCCGTAGTCACTGTACCTAAGGAAGGTTAAAGTTATATGAGGAACTATATATCTAAAGTCACTGAGATTCAGGATATACCTATGAATGGTTGTAGAGAAAAGGAATGTGTATCTATTTGATATATTTACAATTCTATTTATCTTTCCTAGCAATTTTACAGATATCAGTAACTTAACATACTAAAGACTTTAAAAGTGATTGCTACCAAACAAATTTTTACTGCTGTTGGAGATCCTTGATAACAGGAAAAGATTGACCTTAGGTAACACAAAAAGTTGTGATTTTAAGAAAGATAAAAGGTATGACATGCCACCAAAAATAGAAAGTGGAACAAGATTTTCCAAAATCTCTTTTTACGTATATTTAACAATTTAAAAGATATTTAACTATATTCATTAACTGTGTTTTATTAGGTAACTATTACCACATATGATGCGGTAAAAATTATGATTTATTATTTATAACGATTAAATTCCACCCCCTATTCACGAAAACGGCAAAAAAAATTACTCTAGGTTCTCTCCATTTCAGAACTGTGTCATTCTCAGACTACGTCAGCCTTCTTTATTCAGTTTTCTTAGCGTCTACATGTTTAAAAGTTAGATCTGATTATTATCTCAATCAATTCGTGAAATTTCGCTTTATAGTCCAGTCATTATAGGCACGGTAGCGCAGTCGGTCGAGAGTGCGGTAGCAAGCATTTCTCGGCTAGGCTTCCTACTCTGGTCCGGGTTCGATCCCCGGTGTCGGCACTGGCAATGTCGATGGATAATGGGTGTTTGTCCGCGTTTTTTCAAGTGTAGCCCCCTTCCGCACAAGCCTTTGGCTTATGGATTTGGGGGTTGTCTCATTTCTGTGGTGTGTTTTATGTTTATGTTTATGAAAGAGCCTGTTTCGGGAAAAAAATACTATTAGAAGTTTCTCTGCGGAATATTGTTCGGAAACATGTTATAAATAAAATATCAAAAAATGAACTCGAGGCTAGTTGGGAAACTTTGTTTTAACAGTGGTCAAAGTTATGGAAAAGTGGTTTTTTGACTCACGTAAAAAAACTATTATTTATAGCGAAAAAAAGTTTATACAAAAAAGGTAGGTATTAAATAAGCCTATAAAATGAGAAAAGTCCGATTAAATTCCGAAAATTTGTTTATTTTTTTGTTTATGTTTATTAATTTGTTTATGCACAAGAGCTCAAAAATGGTCGAAAATTGCCGTTTTTTTCAATTGCTAATCATTAATGCAATTTGCATCGCAGACACTTGTGATTCAATACAACTATTTAGGTACAAAAACAACTAATGATCGAAACCCTACAACGCCTGTGAGCTTGGGAAAAATGAATTGAAAATAGCATCTTCTTAGATAACAAATTCCGCTAACGCCAAGCTAATGAAGGTTTTGGGCTGAAATTTTTACCACTTATTAAGGGTGCAAAGAGCCTCAAAAATCGTGAATTACCAGAGTCTGCGATGAAAATTGCATTAATTATTAACAATTGAAAAAAGCGGACAATTTCGACCATTTTTGAGCTCTTGCGCATAAACAAATTATCGGAATTTAATCGGACTTGTCTTATTTTACAGATTTATTTAATACCTACCTTTTTTGTATAAACCCTTTTTCTCTATGAATAACAGTTTTTTTACGCGAGTCAAAAAACCACTTTTCCATAATTTTGACCATTGTTTTAACAAAGTTTCCAACTAGTCTCGAGTTGATTTTTTGATATTTTATTTATAACCCGTTTCTGAACAATATTCCGCAGAGAAACGTAATAGTATTTTTTTCCCGAAAAAAAAGCTATAATGACTGGCCTATTATGCATAAATACTGTTTACGCGAATGTTTGTACTAGTAATCGGGATAAGTTAATAATGAATAAAAGAATTACTACCTTAATTTTCGCAATACCGATATCTACTGATGGAAATTCGAAAGTTTGATTTTGCCATTTTCATTCAAATTGAATTTCATGGAAGACTAATTCATGGAATCTGAAATTCAGGAATAATGACTTATTTAACAAAATTTGTATTATATTTTTAACAACTCTCCATGCTGGTTACACTTTTTAAATTGCCATAGTTGAATTGTTTCAATGAGAAAGATGGAGGCAGATGTAGAACACTGAAGAACAAATAATTACCAGACATATCTATGAACTTTGCTTAGTAGGTATTTAGCTTAAGAGCTCCACTATAATTCAATTACTGACGAACCATATTGAAGATACATATAAACTTCACATTTGGTGCAGATCAATTTTCTCGTAGTAACTAATACGCCTAAAATTTAATAAAAAACTAAGTGCCGTCGAAATTGGAAGTGGTTTGAAGGATTTGAATTATCAAAAAATATGTAGCGTTAAAGGTAACCTTTTTTTTCGTATTTGGATATATTTTTATTAACGGCTCTTATGTGAATATTAAGCGAACTATTAATTTTCCACAACCAAAATTGACTACTTTTGGAGCTTCTTGAGGACTTTGTAGTTCTCAATATAATACAAATGGAATTTCTTCTTCAGTTCTCTATTATCCAATATCTTGTTTTCCCTGAATTTATTTTATCTGATTGTTCAGATTATTGATGACCATGACCATGATGTTTGAAATAATTTGATTCACTGTCACGATGACACCAAACCTTAGATCTATGTTTTTAGTTCATTTAAAAAATTTGAACAGATTTTGTAATGAATCAATGTTTTGTATTTTACATGAATTTTCAACAATATGTAAAACAATATTGTCCAAAATCAAAATGAAATGTTCAAGAAATTTACTCTTTTTTCTGTTTCAGGGAAGAGAACTCAAGAATGCATATGTGTAGGCATCTGCTTGACTCTGATGGCGGTGAACTTTGTTTTCATTTTATTCCACATAAAACTAGAAAAATTAAGTACCATCCTGGTGGCTGCATTCTGTGGAATAGTCACTGCAGACTTCGGATCTGGATTAGTCCATTGGGCAGCTGACACGTGGGGCTCTGTGGAGCTTCCCATCATAGGAAAGGTACTATATTTTTATATAATTTGTATTCATACCTAATATACACCTAGCTACTTAACATGTCTGCAAAACTTTAATCCAAAAATCGTCGTTGTAGGCTAGTAATGCTATAAGTTTTTTAATACTTTTCATCTAGTCTCTCCTAAATTAATAAACTGAAGTTTGCATTAGAGAGCAGTATAAAATCTGCAAATAATTGTTTTAAATATTATTATATATATTATATATTTAAAACATATATAATGACGAAATATATTTCAAACTGCATTTTTGTTTGTTATACATGTATAGCTAAATATAGCTAAGAGATATATAAATATGAGAGATTAGACAATGGCAAATGCAATACTTATTAAGTCAAAAATAGCATTAGAGCTGTGCTAATGTGGATGTGCCATTTTAGCTTACTGTCCATATTTAATTGTGATTAAATATGTCTAATATTTAATCTAAACATTTAGTTAAATATGTAAATACTAAATAAAACACCACAAGTAAATAATAACAGACAATATATTATTCGGTATTATTTGTGCGTGGACTCCTCATGTAACTTTAATTTGTTTGTGAGAAATTTGTTTAAATATAAAAGAGTTAGGTATTCTGTTTTTGTTGGAAATTAATACATCTTAATCAGACATGTCAAAAAGAAAAATAATAATTTTTAAAATATTACGTTATTCAGAATCAAACAGAATTACTTAAGAACCTAAAATAATGTTTATCTCTTAAAAGAGTCATAAATAGGCAAAACTTGCATGTCATTTAATTTTTTCTTTAACCCGGCGCATTCGCCACTTTTTTAAATAAATGAAATGTATTACCCCTAGGTTTTTATCGGCCAGCTAAGTTTCCTTTTTCCATTTTTCATTCAGGCCTATCTCTTTCAAAGTATAGAGTTCCAAAATTATGATTAAAAAAAACATTTTTATTGATAACTCTGTTGTTTTGTAATATATTTAATTAAAACTTCGCATATACTTTTATCCAATGCTGGCATATTTTTTTATGCAAAAAATACCAAAACATAATCGAAGGAATTGGGGGTTCTACTTCTCTTTGTCCCCCTAGTTTTTGATGCACCCCTATGATTTAAATGTATTGTCTCTTGGAGCAAACATTTCTTTTCTGTATTGTTTTTGACTCTTGTAAAACTTATAACAATAAGACTTAATTTACAAGATATTACGACTTTCTTGAATATCTGATATCGACTCATACACTTGTCGTTTTTTAATTTAACTTATATGACAAATCTATTCTTTGATAGAATGATTGAAGTGTGTTTCTGCTTAGTGTTTAACGGCTAGACTAGTTTTGTTGTTAAGATTTTGTTTTATTTTAACTTTTGTGGATATTTATTTATCTTTAGCACAAAATATCTTATTTCAATTTAACAATTATGAAAACAAATTGCAGAAGGCTAAAACTATAAATTTTCTAGCACATTTGTATTCTTTCATTAATACGATCTAAGTAGTCATTCATGGATGTGATAGATGTTTAGAATTCTTAATATTGACTTTTTATATAAATGTATCTTGTTTTCTGGGTTGCAACATTGGAATGCATCTAACACAAATTCTTGATTTTAAATTAATCTAATTTCGTAAGTTAAATTTATTAAATTAAGAGAGCTTTTAACCAAAACTCTTCTCGATGTCGATATTTCAAAATATACCAATTTTCTTTAAGAATGTCAAACTTTGAACACAACATACAACAAAAATATTTCGATCACACCCAGGAAATTGCAATGCCTTGAAAACCATACCTTAATCACAATTTTACGAGAAAGAAAAATTTAAAAAAATAGACGCTTGGGTTAAAAAACCAATGCCCTTTAATCATGGGCGTGTAATGGGAAAAGTTATGGGGATATGAGTACTAATGAGCGTTCAAATAAAAACGTGGTCGAAGTTGGCTCTGACACATTGGACGTAGGGCGTAGCTTATAGCGTCCAACTTAACCTCATTTCTTAACGAGCTGTATAGCAGCTGTCAGTTTCAATAACAAAGCGGCGATACAGCGCTTTGACAGATGACGTTTAAGTTCATTTGCTATACGCTACGCCCTACGTCCAAATTTTCAGAACCAACTTGAACACGTTTTTATTTGAACGCTCGTTACAAACCCTTTTCTTCCGTTCGAGCATCGATTTCTTTAACAAAACTGATGTGCCGTTGGAAGAATTAACAAAATTTCAGTTGAATATTATAAAAGACATCGCGCGGAGTTAATACAAATACTTTTTTAAATTTTAGCTTTGACATCTTGCATCTTGTAAAAGAGACATCTAAATGAAAAATGGTATAAGGAGAGGCATCATAACTTATTGTTTTGTATTTTTTAAATATTTTTTAAACTAAATTTTATAAATAAATAATTTAAGTCCCATTATTTGAGAGAAATCTAAAAACACAAGTACTTGATATCCCTTCTCTACTGCCTTACTAAAACCTCTTAAGACTTTCCCATATATCCATTCTGAAACTGTAAAGTTCTTTCGTTGCTATTTATACAGGGTCGGAAAGTCCCCATGGTTCATCGGCCGTTACGTGAGAGCTATAAAGAGAGTCATAGAAATCCGTGCGATAGAGAAAGATGGCTATAATGAAGGCGTCTAATAGTCACCGGCCCATTTCGCCCTTCCACAAATAAGATCCACTTCTTATTTGTGGAAGGACGAAATGGGCGGTGACTATTAGACGCCTTCATTATAGCCATATTTCTCTATCGCACGGATTTCTATTACTCTATCGCTCTCACGTAACGGCCGATGAACCATAGGGACTTTCCGACCCTGTATATACTAACAGCTGTAATACGTTATTACATACGAGTTACATTATACATTTTTACCCCATCAGTCAGGCATAATCAAGAGCTTTTAAGTAGTCAGAAAGTCTGTTATTTAATTTGACGCTTATTACAATTTTCCACTCAACTCTGGGTCAGTCATGTAACCGCTAAATTTAAACACATTGTGGGGCGGCGATCGATCAAATTTAATGTCTCCGATAAGACCGTGGGACACAGCAATTTTTTACGTTAAGTCTTTGTTGAAGACGAAAAAGAAAAAGTTGACATTTCGTGCTTATAAACAATTTCGCTGAAGTTTGATGTAATCATTATTAAGTAGGTACATTCACCTGGCAATTTATTTTAGTTGTTTGAGGTGTTCCTGTTGTATACATCAACACAAATTCGAGAAAAGCTTTAGAACTCAGTTAATGTATGTTACTTTACTGTAAACACACAGGCACACAAAAAAAAAGTGGTCATTTTTTATCGAAACCTATTATTATTATATGTTCAGACCAACTGAACACAAATGTGAAATCAATTAAACGCCGTCACCCACAATTTTCGAGAAAATGCCTCCCAAGACATAAAGAAATAGGTTATTTGTGAATATGCTTACGGATTGTAACATCGTAAGAGACGATGTTCCGTATAGTGAATTCCATAACCCTACCCCCATACTTTCTGACCCGACGAACACAAGTCTGAGTCAATTTGGCACCATTATCGAGAAAATGTTTACTAAATTCGTATGAGAGGATGTTTCACGAATATACCCAGGAGGTATGCGATTTAGGGCAAAAGTGTCCGGCAATTTTTTTTTACATTACGCTTTCTTTCACTTGTAGCGAACCTTTTTCTCTGCCAAAGATCTCTTTCTCTTTTTACCTCTAACCTTACATTTTATTTTCAATGTCCAACAATAGTCATCATAATCACATCTCACTTACCCTGACACGTTTTTTCCATTTCCCTTAAATGTTGGTGGTCGTTCACCTTGCTCTTTGCTCTAGTTACCTAAGTTATCGGGGAAATAATACGAGTAGTCCAAATTCCCTGAAATTGTCTATCATTTACGCGATTTTATAATTATGAGCTTTGTGATCATCCAAAAAGTTTTCTCTCACATTTTCGAAACTTTGCTTGCAGCCCTCTCAGTTTCATTGACTATCAATACAAAATCTTCATAACGCAACATTTTACGAATTTGAATTGCGTTTAATATACTTTATTTCAGTTTACCATTACTGATTTCAGGAAATTTATCTTCTAAGTATCCATGGCATTCTCCTTCTTTGTCCAAAGCCTCAGCGAACTGTTACAATATTCCAAGTTTTTATTGCTTTGGAGAAAGCAGAACCTTGGAAAGATCTAGCAAAGGTGTTTGAGTAACATTAAAAGATCCAGTTTTTTTGCTCATAGTGATTGTTCCTAGCTGTACCTACTGTATTCTGATTGCTGTACCAAAATATTATGGCAATGATTTTGAAAGCACTACAAATTCGCCACCTGTGCTCTGAATATCTTATTTTTTTGTAACATCCTATCATTTTACATTTTAGTGTTGTTGAATATCTACTATTGAAACTCAAGTATACCTATTACCATTTTGATAGCAGAACTACCCATTGTTGTTACAAACGTTTTGTTTTAACTCGTTTGTTATGCCGTTAACGTCGGAACAATATACTAATTTGAAGAAAAATATTTCCGAATACTTGTTTCATGTAATTTATACATTGTAACACCTGGTATACCTAGATAGTAAGAATCGCAAGAATGCTGAATTAGGAAAAAGGATAGATACTCCACTCGAATTAGATCATAAAACCTGAAAACTTGAAAGAACCATTAGCATTAGCAATTTTATTGCACTTTATGACGGGGAAGGAAAGAATGATATCAAAAAAAGGAACTCGAAATAAGTGTTTTTTCACTTTTTTTACTGCCCACGAAAATCTAGACGACCTATCGGAATATTAGTTATTTTATGTTGTACCTAAGCTTAAATTACGTTCAATTTAAGCTACCTAGATTCATTTTCACTAATTTTTTAACTGTAAAATAAAGGCCGAACGCGGAAATATCAGTTTTCGAAAATTATTATTATTATTGTTCATGAAATTTATAGAAAAGACTATCAATCCAATGACCCACATGTGTACCAAACGCCGATTCAATTGACCGTGAATCCATCTATTTGTTAGTTAATTTAGTTTACTTTTTTGCAAGTAATTATTTAATTACTAAACGTTAATTTTAGAAGTTAATATCATAGGATATAGGTTCTAAGTGATCCAAAGAATAATTTAAAAAAGTTGAAATTAAGTAGCCCTTTACAACTAACAAAGTAGGACGTGCAAAACAGCCGCTCGGGAATTCGCTCTATTTGCACTGAATAGAGCTTATTTTTACGGTAATTTAAAAAAAAGCGAGGAATCAGCTACGCCTCTTTGTTGCCAAGATAGCTTTTTTTATATAACGTTAATTGTTAATTAACTATTGGACGTATCGTACCGTGATTTTAGAGAAAATTAAAAAAAGGGTTAAACTTTTATTTTCAGAAAGTTTTACAATGATATTTTATGTAATAAACACGGTAGTAGCTGTTTTAACAGAATTTAAAACGTTCAAGCGTTAAGTGAGAAATAGTATTCTCACTCAACGGTTTAAGTCAAGAATCTGCTCTTTCTTTAAATCTCTCTAAAATTCCGGATTAACAATTAACGTTATAAAAAAAGCTATTTTGGAAACAAAGAGGAGTAGGTGATTCCTCTCTTTTTTAAAAAGTACCGTAAAAATAAGCTCTATTTGATGCAAAAAGAGCGAATTCCCGAGCGGCTTTTGCCTGACCTTGGGGCAATTTGTTTCTAACGCTGTTTTGAACGTCCAACTTTGTTAGAGTAACTTGATTTCAACTTTTTGAAATTTTTCTTTTTCGATACGTTCTTTTAATCAATTAAAACCTATATTATCGATTTTAACTTCTAAAATTAACACTTAGTAATTCAATAATTGGTTGCAAAAAAATGGTCACTGTCAATCGAATGGACCTTTGGCACAAATGTTTGTCTTTGGATTGACCGTTTTTTCCATAAATTTCATCAACATCCATCGCTTTTACCGATAATAATGCGCAATTTTCGAAAACTGAATAGGTAAAATAAAAAAAAAGTCCACTCGACGCTTTAGTATGAAAACATGCTATCTCAGATTTCGGTTGAAAAACATGCTCTCTCCAATTTCAGTTGGAAAACATGCTATCTCAAATTAAGCTTGGAAAACATGCTAACTCAGATCTTTAGGTAAAAACATGCTGTCTCAGTGTGACTAGAAATTTAAGTTGGCACATTGAATGTTTGAAACCGTGCATTTATAATATACTTATATAATATATTTTTAAAAAATTAAGGAATGTATATGTTCAGGTACACTTTTTATTTTTTTTTTATTCAACATTTTTCAATTAGTTTTGTTAAGTTACTGTTATAAACGACAAAATTGTTAATTAAAAAAATATAATAATATGCAGTATGCTGCAACACGTATATTACTCGACGTTTTTTGAAATAAAAAATTATAAAAAAATAGTGTAGGTATACCGTAATATATAAAAATGTTTGTTATTACTAAAAATTATTCGATTTTTTTCATACAAGTTTGCTTTGATATCAAAATTAATAGCGTACTCTTATCTGATCGAATAATTTTTAATAATAACAAACATTTTTATATATTAAGGTATACAATATTTTTTTTTATAATTTGTTATTTCAAAAAACGTCGAGTAATGTACATGTTGCAGCATACTGCATATTATTCTATTTTTTTAATTAACAATTTTGTCGTTTATAACAATAACTTAACAAAATTAATTGAAAAATGTCAAATAAAAAAATAAAACAAACAGTGTACCTAAACATAAACATTCCTTACTTTTTTAAAAATATATTAGAAAAGTTTATTATAAATGCACAGTTTCAATCATTCAATGTGCCAACTTAAATTTCTAGTCACACTGTGATAGCATGTTTTTACTTAAGGATCTAAGTTAGCATGTTTTCCATGCTTAATTTGAAATAGCATGTTTTCTAACTGAAATTTGAGATAGCATGTTTTCCAACCGAAATCTAAGATAGCACGTTCTCGTATTAAAGCGTCGCACTGTTCTAGCAGTATCCTGAATAATGTCGTGTCATTTTAAACTGAACTATGAAATATTATAGAAATCTCTTTATTCTTCATATAATATGAAAATCCTTGTAAAATTTCAGAGTAAAGGGAAAATCAGCATAAAACTTGTTCCTGTTCCAAAAATATAAATTTAAAGAACGTGAAATAAATTTCCTCAAATTTTTTGCTTTGCAGAAGATGATGTCATAAAATCAACATCTGTTTCAGAATTTCTTGCGACCATTCCGTGAACATCACATCGATCCAACATCCATAACCCGTCACGACTTCATCGAAACTAATGGTGATAACTTCATGGTAACGATACCATTCCTAGGGCGCATGGTATGGGATTTCATCAGCTTATCCAAAGAAGACGTCGAGAATAAGTTTACATGGAACTGTTACGTATTCCTTTTAGCTATTTTCGTAGCCATGACCAATCAGGTAAGACTAGATATCATTCATTTCCCATAAAATTTTTCTGCATGTCTCGCTGTTTCTCTCTTTCCCTTTCTGAGCCTGCAATATGTTTCTATAACTGCAAGTATACCCGTAATAGAATATATATTTTTTTTAAATGGGACATCCTTTACATGTTTAATTTTTAAATCTCCGTAAAATTTCCTTTCAAATGCCATCTCAGTTATTACCATTATTGTTTGTTTTTACCATACGTTAATCTATATGCGGCTTAAGACTAGTGATGGGCGGGTCGGGTCTGACCCGGATCAAAGATTCGGATCTTTACGATGATCTGACTGACCCGAATCCCGATATAAGTTCTGTCGGATCACTCGGGTCGCGGACCTCAGCTAATCTCGTATGGCCGTGCTGTGACACTATATAATGAAATTGATCGCAGAGGTTTACGGAGTACGCCGCCGCTCCCGAGACCCGTATGTAGTGATGGGAAGACTCGTGTATTTTAGTGACCCGGGTCATCTAGATCAATCATTATGATGACCCCTTCTGCCCATTCATGACAGTCCCACAACCAGAACCGTTCACTCAACGTCGGATCCAGAACGAAGCGACCGACCCGACGACCCGGGATCCGGATCATAGATTCGGTTCATTGAAGTGACCCGGATTCGGTGGCCCGAATCCTAAAAATGACCCGTTTTGCCCTTCACTACTTAAGACTGTTTCATATTTGTCTTTCAGATCCACAAATGGTCCCACACGTATTTCGGCCTGCCCAGCTGGGTGATATTCCTCCAGGAGTGCCGCATAATTTTACCTCGTCGCCATCATCGCATTCACCACGTCGCACCTCACGAGACATACTTTTGCATCACTACCGGATGGTTGAACTGGCCTTTGGAGAAGTTGCGATTTTGGAGTGCCTTAGAGATAATAATTGAGACATTAACCGGTTACAAACCCCGCGCCGACGATTTGAAATGGGCAAAGAAGGGGACGTGATATATTTTGTGGCCGATGTTGAATTCAGTGTTCTAGTGCACCAATAATAATTGTAGTCACTCAGGTCAGACACGCTTCACGAGATAATGCTTACTGTGAAGCTTGGAACATTTTTTTACTACAAACAGAATCATCTATGCCATATTTTTTTTAGTAAATATTTATTACACTATGAGTGCGAAACTCGCACTGAACATATTTTTTTTATATGAAAGGAATATGTATTATTCCGTTATGTATTTTTTACTAGAGTAATTGTAGTATGACTCAGAACTAAATGCTCGGATCTTTTTGCCGAGAACATAATTCATTTTTAGAACAGTCTTGTTTTCGAATTAAAGAGAAAACGTCATTTGTTTGCAGCTATAAACTAGTTAATTTTCATAAATACTGCCTGTAACTATTTTGGACTAAACAAAATGTCCAACATTTCAGTTGTTTCAAATATAACTGTTATTAATTCATGACTAAATGACTAATTTGAAACGTGAACAATAGAATTGATAAAATCAATGTGAAAACATGTACAAAGGACCTTAAGAGCCTATTCAAAGCTTTCGTGTTAAGCTATTAATTAAACATATTCAGAGCGTAGCGCCATTTGTCATTCCCACTAGCGTTTTCCTTAGGAACTAAGGACGTGATTTTGAGCTGGACATAGACAATTGAGAAAAAAGTGTTTAAATTGGTATATGTTTTCTATCCTCATACTGATAGATGGCGCTGTTGTGCAAAGAATTTCATAAGTATCGGGAATAAAATATGTGAAGGTATCATATAGAAAATAGAAACCAGTTGGGATGTTAAATAGCGCTACCTGTATAGAAATTAATTGTTGCAATGTGATATAAAATGACGAGAAATAATTTATCAATTTAAATAAATTTAGAAACGTAATAATAAGTACAAAAGAAATACACTCTAGGATTAAAATATATGTAGGCATATTTATAGATTTAAATGTGTATTGCCCCAGTATAATACAAATCAATATACAGGGTCGGAAAGTCCCCATGGTTCATCGGCCGTTACGTGAGAGCGATAAAGTAAGTCATAAAAATCCGTGCGATAGAGAAAGATGGCTATAATGAAGGCGTCTAATAGTCACCGCCCATTTCGCCCTTCCACAAATAAGAAGTGGATCTTATTTGTGGAAGAGCGAAATGGGCGGTGACTATTAGACGCCTTCATTATAGCCATCTTTCTCTATCGCACGGATTTTTATGACTTTCTTTATCGCTCTCACGTAACGGCCGATGAACCATAGGTACTTTCCGATCCTGTATACACTCTTTTATAATTAGGTTTTATGGCGATAAAAAATATTGGTCTTGTACAAGTAAACCAAGAAGAAGAGTAAATTCTTTCCTGTTCTGTGGGTCTATGAGAGCGGCGGGATTTTTAAATTTCTTCAATTCTTTAATTATTTATACGTACTCTTAAGCAAAGTAGATTTGATTACTACTTTATTATTTCAAACAAAATTGAAAATTATTTTGTTAGTTATTATTACGAGTATATAGCCAATTCCCCAACAACAGGAAATACAGTTTATCACAAATGTAAACACATCACCATATTCTAATGAAGCAGCTTGGAGACTTGTGCAATAAAATTATTATCGGTGGCCATTATATTCTATAATCATACTGATTTGTATAATACGGTGATATTGCCCTTTTTTTCATACGTCATAATATATGGGTTAGTGCTCTACACACAGCCTTCATCTTCAAGCATATACTACTGGAGGCAGCATGATGCCATTGCGAAAAGTGTAGCTGAGTGTGCGAGAGAGACAGACAGTATCTTAGTACTTGCTGTCTCAGTCTAGTACGCCGCCATTGGTTGGAGCATTCATTTCTAACCAATCGTGGCGTGCTAGAGTAAGAGAGCATATCCTGAGATACTGTCTGTCTCTCTCGCACACTAAGCCACACTTTTCGCAATGGATGGCATGCTACCTCCAGTAGTATATGCTCGAAGATCTTCATTCATAGAGAGTGTTTGTTTGCACAGTATCCAGATATCTGTAATAAATTAACACAAACTTAGGATGGTCGCATGTTTACAAATGCCGTAAATGTATACCGACAAGTTTATAATTATGCAACCATAGGTACGCATATAGGCTTTTGCGTAAGGTTCAAATCACGAAGCTTTGAATTAGGTTTTACAAATACGATCATAGTGAAATCTCGTCCCAGTCTCGCCTCATCTCCTTGATGTGTATTTGAGACGGACTGCTAGTAAAGCTCCCAAGTCTCGACTCTGTGTAAACATAAATAAAATTGACGACTTTGATAGGCTTCAGTTGAGATTTGGGGGAAGCTTCACTATGGACGCACATTTAGTCCCTAGAGAGATCGTTGTTGATAAAATCATCAACTGCAAATAGTTACCCCTCTTGTGTATAATAATACTGTTTTGATTTAATATTAATGCATTTTATTGTTTTCCTTAAATTACTAGTAGAATTTTTTAAACCTGTACCTGTTATAGATTATATTAATGGCTCTAGCAAATATTAAATAAATAATGCTCTAGTTATATTAATATAATTTACAAAATGTGTTTTGATATAAGTACAGATATTGTCTGTTATTTAAATATTTTCTAAACATTCTCTAAAAATTATTAAGACATAGACTTTAGTTCTTGTATTAAAGGATCTAATATTTATACTACATTATTTAAAATGCAGTTAATGCGACTGATTTATCAAAACAATTTAATTGACTGCCATGATTATAAGTACATACAGAAAATCTGTAATCAAAAAGAATCGCATTTAGTGAGTCTTTTTTTAATTTGTAAAATTCAGTATTGTGCACCTAGCAGAGTAATTTGTTTTTATAATAGATATTTCATTCAGGTTAAAGAAACACACAAGAAATTTGTATTGTGTAAAGTACATTTTTTTTTATTTGGCAGAATGAAACATGGAAAAAATGAGTTAATTATTAACAACTCTCCATTCCATTACACATTATTTTATATTAAGAAATTTGTAAAATTTTAATACCTCATGAGACATTTTTATATTATTTTTTGTGAATTATTACCGTCCTTTTTTGGATTGTTCATTTATCCCAAATTAAGTCAGACTGCAATTTAAATGTGTCAAATATTCACCGAAGCCTAATATTACAAATTAGCCTAGCATATTCACCAAAAGAATCATCAATTTGCTCCTTCTTTTTGTAATGTAAAATGCTTGTTATTATAGCACCTACCAGTTCTATACAATTTTTCTCTTTATATGACTCTTATAGTTTAATTTTCATTGTTATTAAAATTGTTGAACTGTTAAGTAGTTTTTAGAAATAAATCTTATCAGAATTTGTCAATTAATAATTTTATAAAAAAATGTGGTGTGATACATTTTTTATTTTAAAAAAATAAATATACCTACCTACTGCTTGCTAAACTTAATATTTTTACATATTTCCTAAATATCTACCCATATTTTCTAAATTTTAAACATATAAATAATGTTCAGATAAATAATTCGACAATTTGAAAATGGTAAATATATATGATAAGGGATTTAAGCGGTGTGCTTCATATCAAGGCACCAATAGTGTTTCCCTTTCTTCTTAATTTTGTGTCAATTTTAAAAAAAAAATTCAGAGCGAACAGCCGAGCTGAGCAGACGTGCTTGTTTGTGAGGTGAAGTGATTGCAACGAGCAAAATCTACCTGTCTTTATTAAGGCTACCTGTAAAGAATCCCTTTCTTTCCTTTTAATCACCGACCTAATCCCCGGCTTAAGCATAGAGGCCGTCGGCATCTTTGTTGCAGGCACCTGTCCCGGGGTTATGCCCAGGTAAGTTTTTACTTATTTATCAGTTATTTGCATTACTTTAGAATACATTTCTTTAAAATTGCGACCCCCGACAAACAATATACCAGACAGACAAATACACCAAAAGACACGTACGCCCCCGT